TTTTGTATGGGATGTTGAATACCATGGGCAAGCGGAGAGCTTCTGGATTCTTGTGGAGGATTGCGACGGCGAGGATATTTTGTTCCACGACCAATTCATACTCCGCCGTCAATATGCGGAGAGCGAAAATAATGAGCATTTAGTCGAGTTCACGGTTCCAATGACGGAGCCAATGCCACCGAATTACTTCATCACTGTTGTGTCTGACCGCTGGATGCACTCCGAAACGAAGCTTGCAGTGTCTTTCCGGAAATTGATTTTGCCAGAGAAATTCCCGCCGCACACACCTCTTCTAGATCTTGTGCCATTGCCGGTGGAGGCGTTGAAAAAGAAAGAATACATGGAGCTCTATCCAGACTGGAGACACTTCAACAAGATTCAAACGCAGGTTTTCAAGAGTCTCTTCGATACTGATGATAATGTGTTCATTGGTGCGCCAACCGGAAGTGGAAAGACCGTGTGTGCCGAGTTTGCCCTGCTGAGGCATTGGAGCAAGGATGACGATGAGCCTGGAAGGGCAGTGTATATTGCGCCTTTCCAGGAGCTGGTAGATATGAGATACAGTGACTGGAAAGAGAGGTTGAGTGGCTTGGCCGGTGGGAAAGAAATTGTCAAGTTGACGGGAGAGACGAGTGCGGATTTGAAATTGCTCGAGAGGGGAGATTTGATCATGGCAACGCCTGCGCAGTGGGACGTGTTGTCCAGGCAGTGGCAGAGGAGGAAGAATGTGCAGACCGTGGAGCTGTTCATTGCGGATGAATTGCATATGCTTGGTGGTCAAAACGGCTATAACTACGAGATCATAGTGTCGAGGATGCATTATATTGCTGTTCAAACCGAGAACCCGATGAGGATTGTTGCGCTTAGTGTTAGCTTGAGTAACGCCAGGGATCTGGGAGAATGGATTGGGGCAGACAAGCATACCATTTTCAACTTCAGCCCCCGGGATCGACCAACACAATTGGAGATCCATATTCAATCTTTTACGATACCGCATCAGCCATCTTTGATGATCGCCATGGCAAAACCGACTTATCTGGCAATTTGCAGCACTCCAGCAGACAAACCCGTCATCGTGTTTGTTCCTTCTCGCAAGCAGTGCAGGGCTACCGCGCTAGATATCCTTTCATACTGCGTTGCTGATGGAGACGAGGATAAGTTCCTAAACGTCGATTTGGATGACATTACCGAGTACTTAAACGACGTCGAGGAGAAGGCGTTGAAGGAGAGCTTGAGCCATGGTATCGGATACTACCACGAGGCATTATGCAAGAACGATAAGCTCATCGTCGAGGGATTGTTCAAGCACGGCGCGATCAAGGTGCTTCTGGCAAGTAGAGATGTGGCCTGGGAGTTGAAGAATAGCGCCTTTTTGGTTGTCGTGATGGGGACACAATTTTTCGAAGGGAGGGAACACAGATATATTGATTATCCTCTCTCGGAGGTTTTGCAGATGTTTGGGAAGGCATCAAGAGCGGGAATAGACAAGAGCGGTAAAGCGATTCTTATGACGCCCGCGGTGAAGAAGGACTACTACAGGAAGTTTTTGAACGAGGCATTGCCGATTGAATCCCACTTGCCAGCATATCTTCACGACGCATTCGTTACGGAAATCAGCACCAAAACTATTGGATCCACCCAAGATGCCGTGGATTGGTCTACTTACACCTACTTTTACAGGAGGTTGCTTGCAAACCCGAGCTTCTACAGCTTGACAGACACATCCCATGAAGGGCTTAGCACACATTTGTCGGAGATGGTGGAGAACACTTTGAAAGACCTTGCTGAGGCAAAGATCATCGATGTTGATGAGGAAGATGATACTGTCACTCCTCTCAACGCCGCTATGATTGCGGCTTACTATAATATCTCTTTCATCACCATGCAGACATTCCTTCTTTCGCTTACAGGGAAGACAAAGCTCAAGGGTATCCTCGAAATTGTTACTTCAGCGACAGAATTCGAAAGCATTCAGATCCGACGCCATGAGGATCGAGTGCTCAAGCGGATTTACGATAATGTCTCTGTCAAGATGTCACAGCCCAACTACGAAAGTCCACACTTCAAGGCATTCGTATTGATCCAGGCGCACTTTTCGAGAATGCAGCTTCCGGCGGATCTGGCAACAGACCAAGGAGTGGTGTTGTCAAAGGTGTTGAATTTACTGAGCGCGTGTGTGGATGTGTTGAGTTCTGAGGGCCATATCAACGCGATGAACGCGATGGAGCTGTCTCAAATGTGTGTGCAGGCTATGTGGGATAGGGATAGTCCGCTTAAGCAAATTCCGTTCTTTAGTCCGGAAATGGACAAATTTGCAACAGAGCATGAGTATGTTTCCCTCCGTCTTTTCTGCATCTCCAATTGATGACTAATGAATTGTGTCTGCAGGATCAATGATATCTTTGAATTTATGGCGTTTATGAGCGAAGATGATAAACGCGCTACTCTCGTCAACCATCTTAATCTCGATAAATCCCAACTCAACCAGATCTCAACCTTCGTGGGCACGAAGTACCCTGACCTTGAGATGGAATATGAGCTTGAAGATGAAGACTCGGTCGTCGCAGGATCGCCAGCTTACATCAAGGTTAAGATTGTGCGTGAGCATGAGTCCAAGGAAGTTGACACCACTGTCCATGCACCATTCTACCCGCAAACGAAGATGGAGAATTGGTGGCTTGTTGTCGGAGAGCAAGCGACAAAGAACTTACTGGCCATCAAGAGAATCACCATTGGAAAGAAACTGGATGTCAGGCTGGAATACGTCGTTCCAACCCCTGGCAAGCATGAGTTGAAGCTGTACTTGATGAGCGATAGTTACATTGGCGTGGATCAAGAGCAAGAATTCGAGATTGATGCGGCAGAGGGTATGGATGAAGATGAGGAGGAGGAAGAGGATGATGAATAGCTATACCTAAAAGCTTAGTTTGTGTGGGTTTCTTTTTTTACCATTTGCCCCCTTTTTTGTATTTCTTTTCGGTATGGGGCTGGTAGCGTTGCAAATTGGATAGGATCTAGCAGAAAAAAATGAAGGATGACATGCTTTTGCTTTGTATGATATATTAGGTGACGGGGGAAGGTGTGGGCACGGATAGATGTCTTAATGTAACGGTTTATTTATTTACCTTTCACAAAATTTCTTGTACTGGATATCCGAGCAGAAGAAACGTGCGCGGTGCTATGCTATAGATTTCATGATCAACCAATATCCGGCGCTGCATCGAGATATTTCCAAAGTTTTTCGCTCCTTTGAGTATTGAGGTGCTCCAACAAATCCTCGGTAGTTGATATTCCTTACGGACGATACTTGTCAGAAATCATGCTTCCCTTGAACCTGATTAGCTGACCCAAAAGTAGCCCTACCCTAAGATTTATGCTCGCTTCCGGAGCTCCACTTATGAAATCGAGACCAAAGACAAGATCATAAGACGAAGCTAGAAGCTACAGTTGTTCACCGTCTCTTGACGAATACTGCCACTTGACGAACAGGGATTCCAAGTATGGCAAGCAACAGCCAAGCTGCGAGATCTCCAGTCCTTTTAATTTCTATTGGCCCAAAGTCCCCTGTTCGTCCAGTGGCAGTATTCGTCAAGCGACGGTGAATGACTGTATCGGAGGTCTGTGGCCAGCATATATAGGGAGATATGAGCAGTTTGGCAAGTCAGAAGAGATGTTCGCTCACGAGCCGCACTAAGCCGAATCGGTTCGAGTTTTGAGCCGGTGGTCAATGATCGAGGAAACAAGATTTCTTTCGCCAAGAAATGACACGCTCACGGGCCGTTGGAAAAGAGTCTAGCAGTAAAAAAGTAAGAAAGGTCTTTGATAGCCCTGATCTCATGCCTCTAGTCTAGTATTCATGGCCTTTCATACTCCACTCGACAGTATAGATTAACTCGGCTCGAGCCTGGCTAAGCTCATGTATTAAGGAAAAGAGTCCGAGCTAGCACATGTATAGATTATAGACAGCACTACGCGAAGGTGGTGGTGACTGTCTTTGTGAGCTTGAGTAAAACGATAGGCTCGGTTTTTCAAATAGGCCCGAGCTGGCCCGGTTGATATGAGCTAGGGGATTGAGCTAGCTGGCCAGCCCGACTCGCCCGACAACTCGCCCGGTACCGGCGTTCATACGTCTCGGGTCTAACCCGGTACCGCCGGAGTGTTAATTCGATACATAAATGTAGCTAAAACGGATAGAAATTCTTTGGGAAGCCGGGTCAATGTCATCTCCCGATGCATTCATCACACATACCCGGCCACGGTATAGATTCTCGACCCTCATGCTTACGTACCCATTGACCAGCCTAGAACTAAACGTACGGTAGGTGCTTAGAAAATCGACAGATTTACTTTTGAGGCGTCCCCCCCCCCCCCAAAAAAAAAGAGAAAAAAAAGAAAAAAAGAGAAAAAAGAAAAAACTAAATTTATTTCGGGTACTCACTTTGAGTGCTAGATGTATGTATCTATATGTACTCAAGCTATATGGTTGGTCTTTAGTACCGGAAGGAGATTTAATGCTAGTTGCACGACGTCTAGTCGTGAAGAGGTCATTCTCTAAATAACCATTGCAATTAAGTAGATAAACTTACATAATGAAGACAAGAGGGCCGAGTATACTTAAGAAATAAATAAGTAATTCCATCAATAAAAGGTTAATAAAAATGGGAGAGAGAGAAAAACAAACCAGGATAGTTACGATCCAATATAATGCTCCTTCCTAACAGAAATATATATGAAATGGATATACCAAGTAATAAAAGACGTAAGAATATCAAAGGGATCAACGGAAATAAAATACGTAAATAACATTATCTCTCCATTCATGTCCTGCCGGTCCAGACGTCACATTTTCAAACATTGATTGGCTGACGCTAAGTATTTGAGAGGGAAATCAATTGAGGCTATATATTTACCACCTTCGTATGATTAGCATCAATGATTACTCCATCTTGGAGCTTATAGCATGGTTTGGAAATTTACCTTAGGCAGTTGTAGCTCCATTATCAAGAGGTTTCTGGATTAGGGTCGAAATCATAATAAGAATCAGAATCAGAATCTTCTTCTTGTCCTGTATCGATCCTCCCTTTTTGTAATGACCTAATAATTTTCGGATTGATCATCTGGTTCGCCAACTTGGGTGCTGTATATCCATAGCGGTTCGTAATATCTTCGCGAGCGCCACCGTCCAGAAGACATTGAACCACCTTATCGTGCCCTTTATTGGCTGCCCAGTGGAGCGCTGTCCACCCGGCGGCCTTTGTTGCAATATCGATACCAGCACCGCCATCCAGAAGACATTGAACCACCTTATCGTGCCCTTTATCAGCTGCCAAGTGGAGCGCTGTCCATCCGTCGGCCTTTGTTGCAATATCTATACCGGCACCGCCATCCAGAAGACATTGAACCACCTTATCATGCCCTTCTTGGGCTGCCAAGTGGAGCGCTGTCCATCCGGCGGCCTTTGTTGCAATATCGATACCAGCACCGCCATCCAGAAGACATTGAACCACCTTATCGTGCCCTTTATTAGCTTCCCAGTGGAGCGCTGTCGATCCGTCTTCTTCTATAATATCTATACCATCACCCCTTTCTAGAAGATATGCAACTATTATATCATCCCCTTGTCTGGCTGCTATATGCAGTGCACGTGTAGTATCATTGGTTATTAGAGAGTAGGGCTTGCCTCCATGATCTAGTAACAAATGGATAATGGGGCCGTGTCTGCTTTTGACCGCTAAATCAAGCGCCGAGTTTAAATAGATAGGTTCGAATCTCGTGTTGTCTAGTAGCAGCTTGGTGCATGTATCCTGTCCAGTTATGACTGATCGATGCAATGCCGCAACAGATAGCTTTAAATCTTCTTCCATCTTCTGATCGAGATATACACTTAGGCTAGGGCCTCTAGGTGGGCTCAAAAGGAGCTTTAGTAACGGCCCGTGTCCCTTTTCTGTTGCCCATAGAACCATCGGCATGTAAGGGAGACTCTTGATAGTTATTATATCTCCCCAGGGCCGAAAGCTGAAGGATAGTTCCCTTTCTAGAGCCAAACTTTCGAAATTAAGCCACAATTTGTCGGTATCCGAAAACCCGATTGTATGATCAGCCCAGTTTTCAATGACGTAGTTGAGAAGCCGATATTTCTGAAAGAGCTCTGATTTGGGTGGTTGAGATGGTGCTTTTCTTAAGTATTCGTTCCAATCTATCTTTGAACCGCTTTGGGTTTTTTTGTAGCCTCTAAAACGTGCCCATCCACTAATAATAGCGCTACCAAACCATCCAAGGTAAGAGTTCCCAAACAAGAACGACGAATTCAAAAGATTCAAATCCCAGTTAGAAGTGTTGGGATCGTGCGTGGTAGTTCTCGCGACTTGCATCCCGAAACTTTGAAAGGAAAGGTACGTAACACATATTTCCCCGGCCTCACGCTCAGCATCGACAAGCTGAAAATGTACGTTTGAGATGCTTTCGTCATGATTTGGGGCACAAAGCAGAAATTCTTTGACACTGTAATGTGCAAATCGAATTGTTCTATCGTCACTGTCGAACACCACAAGATTCGCACAGGCCTGAATAATTCTCGAGTCGTCCGTTGTAATATTATCTGAATTCAGATTTTTGTCTCCTGGGGAAATGGATATGGCTTCCTTAATTTCGTCTATGGCCAGAGGGCGCCTCGCACAAGTAATCCACTTGAAGATTTTTTGAACGAATAAGGTCGTGGCCGGATTCTTTATGTGTATTTTCCGTAAAGCTCGATTATAAGTTTCCACGAGTCCTGTTGGAAGGTTTTGAAGTACTGTTCGGATACCGCTATCGCATGTTGCCTCGCAAAGGTCTTCGATTTGAAAGGTAACCCATATAAACCTGAATGAAGTAAGTTAGTGTATCTAATATATGAGTAGCTGAAACAGAAATAGGCTGGGAATCTTACATCCCCTGAGCGCCATTAGTCAGAGCCCTTGAAATATCCCCAACCAATGCCGGATTCCGCACAGTAAGAGCACCAGATGCAAGTTTTTCCGAAATGATACTATCAACGAAAGTTTCTATATCTGCCGAAATGTCGTTTCCTGAAATTTGCAAACACAAACAAGTATTGAAGGCTTTCTCAAGATCAACGTCTGCGCGACTTGCAAGCAAAAGTTTAACAACGGTTGGGCCCGGCGCCATAATCGAATGAACAACCTTCAAAACACTAGTACGATTGCTGCCAGTGCATTCGTCAATCCCGTCGAGAATAATATAGATATTACCGAAAAACTTGATTGTCGATAATAAGATATCCAATAACTCATCAAAATCCGGTTTCCTTATTCCTGTATAGGCGTCAAGGAGGATGGATTCCAATTCCTCGGGTATTTCGCTTTTAGTTGACACTAGTTGCAAGATGAAATTCTCCACGATCCTATTAACATCTAGCGAATCCACATTAGAATAATCGCAATAAAAATAAACCACAACTGGCGCCCCAGGGGATGAGGCGTCAGCTATGAGTTTGTCAACCACGGATGTCCTAATAAGAAACGATTGTTCAGCTGAAAAGTGCTTATCACAGTAGTACAATTTTAATACATACATAAGTGTTGTCTTTCCGGAACCAGCTGTTTCAAACGAAAGGCATCAGTACTCTGGACCTATACTATAAGATCTGCAAGGTCACGGGATTTTGATGATGGGGTAAGCGCGAATAACTCACGTATACCGTAGCACCAGAGACAACAAGAACCGGTTTTTGAAGTCCACTCTAGGTATTGCTTTGCCTTCAATATCCAGGTTCCCGTGTTCTCGTGCCGTGTTTTACATAGCTTTCGATGCCTAGATTGGTGGTCTACATTCGACAGTCTTTTCAAAAGTCGCTGTCGCTTCATCTCTATATATATCAATATTAAATATATCAAATAATGTATCATGCAACTAAAAGAAATGATGTGCCCCATGAATATGTTGAGCCATACCTTTCTGAAGTACAAGTTGCTGCGCTTTTTCGAGTTGTCTTTCCTGCTTCGCATTGTCTGCTTCGATCATATGCGCCACTAGAGCTTGATCTTCCACATTTTTTTTGTGTCTTTGAAAGCACTCTACTACATCTCCGAACTGCTTATTAAAAGACCGCCACAAGATTTTGATGTTGATTGCCAAAATTCCTATTACCTATTTAGAACAATTGTCACTTTGTATTGGAGGTCATAGTAATTACCTTTTTTTGACTTCGCCTTTAAAAATATATCCTTCACTTTTGAGCAGAACTTGATCACATCAAGGTAAACCTCCGATAGAGCATTAATTAATGCAGGGTGACCTGCAAATATCCTTTCATAAACACGAAAATTTGGAAGAACGTCGCCGATTTTGGCGAGCATGTCGACTAATCCTCCGAAGTAGCTTTGGAATTCCTTTGCAATCTGTTATCGTTCAGTAAAGTCTATCCATCAAAATAAAAACCCAAAATGTGGAGTGGAGTCACTTGTAGCAAGACTCTTATGCCTCCCCAGAGGGGACACATGATAAGTGAATACGTATTTGAGAAAACATCCAGAGCTGTTCCGTAATTGCTGATTGCATCAATCAATGGCTTCAACTTTGTTATCCAAGCGATGGCTTTGCTGTTTTCTTGGTAGCTTCTCTGCTCAGCAGCTGTAGTGTAGAAAAAATTCTCCAGCGAAGCGCAAACAAAGAGTTGTTTTTGCTCATCTGTGAGCGTGCTGAGATACCTCTCTCGGGCAAGAACCCAAGGCTCAATCGGTTGACTAGTTTTATGCGAGTAACAGTATGTTAGCTAGCGCATATAGTAGAAGAGAAACGCACAAAAGTAATACCGACCGAGTACTCATGTTCGTCTATGCTGAAAGGGTTAGGTGTATCATGTAGAGATAACAATTATAAGGTTTAGAGTGAAGAAAACCTTTCTGTACGATGAGGCTGGGTTTAGCTGAGTTGTCTCGCGCACCAGCCTGATCATGCATGATTGGCTTATTGTATGTACAGCGGTTGGTAATAAGTGATGGAACGCCCTGAGGTACAGTTATACCTGCAAACACCGTATGTTGGTGGCGTTTTACCTAAAACAGGTATCACTGTGTCTCAGGGCGTTCCATCACTTATTACCCACCGCTGTACTTGCACTAGGTGTATTATCAGTAGAAAATGCGCTTATCCCTTGGACGGATGAAAGTTGTCAAATTCGCGACCTGGACCGTGCACCACTTAGTAAGGGAATTATCTTGCTTTTTACGGTTGGCAATAACAACAGAGCCAATCAAGAATTTCGAACAATTGCCATATTAAGCTAGTGATAGCTGAAAGAGTGTGGTCGCACGTTTGACAACTTTCATCCGTCCAAGGGATAGCTGATATAGGGAAGCATTGAACCGTAATATCAATGGTATCATTTTCTATTAAACACTTCCTTTATCCCTACTTTGTAGCTTGGGGGGTTTACTCTAAGTATATTTGCTCGTCAAAAGAAAAGTCAACTCATGGTTTTTCGTGGATACGCTAGAACGGAAGGTAGGGAAAATAGCTAGAATTGTGCCCACGGGAAAATAAACGTTTGAAACAGACTTATCTATTTGTAAAACCCAAGTGATAATAAAAACTCAACGAAAAATAAATAAAGGAACAAAAAGAAACCAGCCACAATTCCTGTTCAACCAATGAAACATCACATCGTCCGTCTACACCATGACCAACGCAAGCAGAGCCATCCTGCAGTAAAGCCCGTACCTCATCTATTGCGACCTGTTAGCAACTGATCAAAGTTTTTGAGAGATGTTAAGGAATAAAATATTACCTGTCTGAAATAAGCTGCCCTTTGATCAAAGTCCAATTCTTCCCCAATTTCCGCATTCCTTGGCAATGGGTGCATAACAACCATATGGCTCTTCGCATTCTTCATAACCGCATTGTCAATCACGAAGCTGTTCTTCAATTTCTCGAATTCAGATAGATCATCAAAGCGTTCCTTCTGAACACGCGTGCAGTAAAGCACATCGGAGTTGGCAACAACATCAGATGTAAGCTCAGTGTATGTTTCGATAGTCATGCCAGAAGCTCGGAGAGCTTCGATGATCGTTGGCGGCATAGCGAGCTGCGGGGGAGAGACAAATTTGATACGGACGTGATAATGCTGGAGAAGCTTCGCTAGGGAGTGCACTGGGCGGCCGAATTTAAGATCTCCCACAAAGGTGATTGTAAGACCATTGACGGTTCCCAATTCCTCACGGATCGTAAAGAGGTCAAGGAACGCCTGAGTAGGGTGTTCAAGACTACCGTTTCCTATAAAATATGTCAACAATCTAATTCATGGGAGAATATATATTAGTCTCTTACCTCCATTGATGATAGGAACTGGCGAGAATCTAGCAGCTGTGGCAGCACTGGATTCATCTGGGTGTCTCAACACAACAGCATCACCGTAACACGCAAGAGTACGGATAGTATCCTGCAGGGTTTCACCCTTAACCTGGCTCGAGTGTGCAGCTGAGATAGCTACAGTTCGTCCTCCAAGGCGTTGCATAGCGGCGTCAAAAGATGCAGAAGTGCGGGTAGATGGCTCAAAGAACATGGTGCAGAGCAGGCGGCCTTTAAGAAGATCAATGATTCCCCAACGCTCAACAGCGAGTCTCATCTCCTGTGCAACAGTGAAGAGATGGTGCAGGTCCGCACGGTTGAATTGGCTGACAGAAAGAATATGGCGGCGCTTGAACATGTTCTCCCGAGACAGAAGCTCCTGTAGTGATGGAGATACCATAGGTACTGGCGGCAATATTTGAGAGGGAAGGCTTGGTACTGCCTCTACCATAGGACTTCCTACATGAAGCGATGGCATCTCGTTACTTACGGAATGCATACGTGCCATCAAATTCGGGCTTAAGATCTGGCGGGCATGAGAAGCCTCCGGAGCACGGGAAGGCTCAGGAGCCGCAGCTGGAGCGTTAGAAACCGGGTTGTGGAATGTGACAGAAGCCTGCGATCCAAGTGTTCCATCGCTGTTCACACGGCCGTCAAGAGTGACAGTTGTGTTTTCAAAAGTAACCCTCTTTACAGTCGCCTTGAGCTTGCGTCCGACAAGAGGAGACCAGACTTCGGATGGTTGCAGGATATATGATCTGTCCATTTCAACCTCTACAGAGCACAGAGGCTGATCATGGAGCTCGAAAATTGCCTTTGGATTATCGTGCAGGCGAAGCTTAACATCCTCAATAGTCAAGAGACCATCACATACGGCAGTGATCAATAGAGGAAGCGAGTCGACAATCCCAACAGAAGGGCAAGGTCCATTTTTGGTTTCGTGAGCCAATTGATAGGGCAAGCTTCCCACGGAGAAGCAGTCAATGCTGGCCAAGTTCTCCCAAAGTGCCTTTTGGTCCTTGACTGTCGGGAGTGAGGTACACTCAGGATAATCCTCTTGCGTCAAAAAGAGAGCATAGACAGCAACATCACATGTAACCTTAAGACCCTTTTCCTTACTCAAGGCAATCAATCGGATGTCGTCCTTTGTTGTCACACTGGTAACGTGGACATTGCGGTTGTGAAGACTGGCAAGAAGCAGTATCGAGGCCAAGTCCGTGGTTTTCGCATCAGTCATTATAGGCTTTTGTGCAGGCCAAACCTCGAAATGAGAAGTGACCGCTGCTACTTTGTTTATGTTGCCAGAAAGATGGTTGAAAGGAATGAAAAGAGAACCGACTTGGGTGGTAAGCTGGCCTAGCTGCTGAGCGTTGGTCGATGTAGCTGCAACAGAAAAGTTAAAATCACAATGAGCCTTCTTGCTGTTCGCCTGGGCCGTCTGCAAGGCTTTGGCATCTGTCAGACTATTCTCGACACCGAGGGGCAACACTCTAATCATTGAGAATCCAGAAGCAATAGACTCTTTAGTGACACGCTCGAAATCTTTGCTGCCTTCTTTGGCTAGGCCAGGAACAAAAGCGGCGATGTTCACAAGGCCAGGGAGTGTGATAGTGCGGTGACTTGTTTGATAGTCAACAGTATCGACATCCAGTTTAAAGCCACGAGCAATAGCCTCAATCAGTAGCTTCGCGTTCTTGACATTGGTGACCAGAGGAGTGTGGTAATCGACGGCCATACGTCTGGTTTGGTAACCTCTAGACATGTATGAAGCAGGTCTACGGAACCTATTGGCAGAAGGCAAGTTGATATACAAATCGATCAAGTTGTTGGCCAAATGCTGCATCAAAGAGTATTCAGACTTTTGGTCATTTGACTCTCCAGGTGCACCTTCACCAAGAACCTCGAGATACTGGACGGGGATTCCGTGCTCTTGGATGAAATCCGCAGTACCGGCGGTCGCGAAGAGCTTGTATCCGAGCTGGTGTAGCTTCTTGACAGATGGAAGCATCTCCATCTTTTCCTTGAAGGAACCAATGGACAAGAGAATGTTCTTCTTAGGCAAACGGAACCCAGTAGAGAGCAGGGCCTTGAGGTACGCCTCGAATTTATCGCGACCAAAACATGCAACCTCACCGGTAGAGGCCATTTCCACACCAAGAACTGGATCCGCACCCGACAAACGGGAGAAACTGAAATGTGGTACCTTGATTCCAACATAGTCTTTTGGAATATCAATAGTGGGATAAGCATCCACTGGAAGTCCCATGATTGCCTTAGTTGCCATCTCGATAAGATCTACGCCCATGACCTTGGAAACAAATGGGAATGATCGTGAGGCTCTGACATTGCACTCAATCACCTTGATCTCGTTGTCCTTTGCAATGAACTGAATGTTGAATGGACCAGTGACATTAAGAGCGTTTCCAATCTTTCTGGTGGCCTCTTCGATTCTCCGCACAGTCTCCGGGTCCAAATCCTGTGGGGGCAGAATTAACGTAGCATCACCTGAATGAACACCAGCATTCTCAACATGCTCCGAAATGAAATGCATAATCATCTTTCCATCTTTGGCCACAGCATCCATCTCAATCTCCTTGGCATTTTCAATGTACTTGGTGATGACCACAGGGTGTTCTTTTGAGACATCGGCTGCCTGGTTGAGATAATTTGCGAGATCGTCTTTTGAGTATACGGTGTTCATAGCCGCGCCAGAGAGCACGTAGGACGGGCGAACCAATACAGGATAAGTAACCTTCTCGCAAAATTCGGCAGCTTCTTCAATACTGGTGAGTTCCTTCCAAGCTGGCTGGTCCACCTCAATTCTATCCAACATGCGAGAAAACTTGTACCGGTTCTCGGCACTGTCAATCATCTCAGGTGAAGTGCCCAAGATCTTGACGTTCAGGCGGTGCAGTGGAAGAGCAATGTTGTTGGGAGTTTGACCACCCATTGCAATGATCACACCACTTGATGATTCAAGCTGGTAAATATCGAGGATAGTTTCGAGGTTGATGTTCTCGAAGTAAAGTTTATCGGCCTCATCATAATCAGTACTGACAGTCTCAGGATTGTAATTGACCATGATTGTCTTGACACCCTTCGAACGAAGAGTCCTGACAGCACGAACAGCACACCAATCGAATTCGACGGAAGATCCAATTCTGTAAACACCGGAACCAAGAACCATGACACCCTTATCATTGAAATCCACGTCGTGTTCAATGCCATTATAAGTCATGTAAAGGTAATTGGTGAAAGCAGGGAATTCCGCAGCGACTAAATTACGATTAGAATGTTTATAGCTATATCGAAAGGTTGGAGCTTACCAGTATCGATCTGTTTTACAATGGGCATGATACCCTGTTCAACACGCAACCTCCTAACCGCAACTTCGTTGGAGCCCCAAAACTCAGCCAATTGCCTGTCTGAAAATCCCAACTGTTTTGCCTGTCTGAAAAGTGGAGCAGTGATAGTCGAGGCG